CGCTCGTCCCCACACTCTCTGCTTCGCCCCCATACGTTGAAAACAAACTAAAACTCCGGGAGTTGCCTCAGAATTATAAGCAGAACCTTCTTGGAAAGAGTCGAGTGTTGGAACTGAGTAATGATTTGCGAGAGCTCTGGAACATTCACGGAGTTCACAGACCGGCCTTTGGGGAATGAGGAATTGTTTTATTTTCCACTTGCTGCGTATTGTTTACAGACCTCTGAGGCATCAACACTTAATACAAAAAACGCTACTGAGAATGTGTAACTCACACGGTTTTCGTTCACTCTCAGGGACTGAAGGGATAATTCTGAGCCACGGGAAACCACAGAGAAGTGGGAGGGCAATTAGAACCGGTGCCAATAATTGTCCAAGCTTTGTGGTCCTACATTGGAATGTTTTAGGCAACTCCATGAACGAGTGTTTATAGATGGGGGAGGAAACCGGAGTGGGAAAAACCCACAAGCACGAGGGGAGTAAACTCTCACTAAGAAAGTGACCCGCTTGCTTTACTGCCAGGAGATGGCAACCCTGATGCCCAAGGGTAGGGAGGGAGTCTCACAAGAGTGAGTGTGTGTGACCCACCAACCCTCGCTTTCACAGTTCTGGATTACAACAGGCGACGTTCATCAGCCTCCACTGAGAGGGTCAAGTATTCAGCGTCAGTGTCCATCTCTGTGGTGTTTGTGACCCCCACGCGTGTCCAATGGGAGCAGAGAACCTAGGTCATGAGCCTGTGGAAGCGAGAGGTGGTGGCCCCACCACCGGTGCGTGAGCGTGGTGGTGGTGGTGGTGGTGGCGGCGGTGGTGGTGGTGGTGGTGGCGGCGGTGGTGGTGGTGGTGGTGGCGGCGGTGGTGGTGGTGGTGGTGGCGGCGGTGGTGGTGGTGGTGGCGGCGGTGGTGGTGGTGGTGGTGCGACCATGGACGATGCCTGCTCCAGCAGGTGGCCTCCTCGCCTCGCTGGTTCCAGGGAGCCAGATTCTAATTTAGTCCTCGAAACTTTCTGAGAAAGCTTTTTTAATGTTACATCATTTAGAAAAGTGAAACGTCATTACAGCAGCAACTGTTTCTGTACTCGTCTCAACCCAGAGAGAGGATGTAATTGGATTAATGTAACAATTTAGTTTCGTCTGATTGCAAAGTGAATGGCAAAGCATAGGCGCTGGGCTTGTGCTATCCAGACCACTCCATCCAGCTCACTTCACCACACAGGTGTTCCACCTTCAGGTTTTGTCCAAGAGCTGGATATGGATACGGTTTGCTTCACAGTGGGTGCTATTTTTAAATTCTTTTTTCGGTAAAGGAGGGGGGGGGGGGTTAGTGTGGGAGAGCGATGTACACCGGTCAGCGACGTGAGCTGTTACACTGAAGGGCCTAAAGCTCTGAGATCTCCGTTCGCAAGAGGGCAGAGCTGCGACGCTCAACTGGACAGGGGGAGCAGGACTCGACGTTACTCACGAGCTGCAAAAAGGATGAAACTGACGTGCAAGTGTCTTGTTACTTTTTTGCTGCAGTATTTATAAATCCCTCGTTCTAGATCGATAAGGCCTGATGACTACCGCACTTGCACGATACGAGCAAGCGCTGTAAGTTTGCAATCCAAAGTGTCGAAGCATTTAAAAAAAGTGCTGCAGCCAACTATATTTTATCTTGGCCTGTATCCCACAAATCACGTCCAACATTAACCAGGCGTGAATGTTTAGCAGCATCAGTGTTGAAGATGTCCAGTGGCTCGTGATGTGACTCGAGCCAACGACGTCAATCACGAGTTCTCAGTATCCTAGGAACTCATAGAGTAATCACCCCAAACAAACGTGCAATGAAACATCAGTTTAACACGTAGGCTTTTGCGACCAATATTATCAATAAGGAGGTTTTTTTGGGTTAGATTGCGTAAATATAAATGTGTCTTTAAACTTGCCACGACCTGACACAGCCAATTAGTAAAGTTTATCACGTAAACCAATCATGCCGATTAGTGACGAGATCAGCAGAGTGGTGTGCTGCAGAGGAAACCCACACATGTTGTTGTTGGAGAGTAAACCTACACATCTTGTGGGTTTACTCTCTAACACACAGGTTAGTGCTGAACTAGTTACTAATTAGCACGTTCTGTTTACTGTGACAAACTTTACTAATTGGCTGTGTCAGGTGGTGGCGGGTTTAACGACGCATCTATATTTACAGTGACCTAACCCAAGACCAGCTATATTATGGTGAATGAAAACATCTTGACATTGTTTTAATTTAAAAAAATCAATGTTCCTGTTGATCTCGGCCAGCTGAATGTACTCCTCTGCTTTGACCACTGCTGGACTGTTGCCAGTAAAACTGCTTTCATTCATTGCCTGGGGTCGCCTCACATGAAGGTCGCCACCTTTTCCACTGTTGACCAAACCCAGAGAGATTTCTCGGTCAGCCTAGGTCTATCCAAAACGGCGGAGTTAACTGCTTTGAAGTTAAATACAATTACCACCAGATTTCGGCATAAACCAAAACCTGCTACCCAAACACCTACCTCGACCTCACGTTTTGTTTTGGTTCCTCTTCAACCGACTAAACCTGCCTGCTTGAGCCGGCCCTTCCATCTCTCACCCCCATGAGAAATCTCGAGGCTCCTGTGCCACAGTGCACACGATTTGTCTATAAACTTGGGCTGAAGTTTCATGCTCAAATCAGACCATATCATAATTAAGGTGGGCAATCCTTAGCAGACATATTTAATGGAGTATGTAAGATTAAATAATAATAAATAATAGATTCGCACACCACAAATACAGAACTCCCACATATATATATATCGAACATTGCGCAAAGCTGCGTTGTGATTTGTGCTGGAATCGCGCCGACTCCTCGTGCCGTGTGAGTGGGGCGCACGTGCTCACGGTGCATCCACGCGCGCGCGCCGCGTTCACACTGCAGCCTACATAGCTCAAGCTGAGTTACGTGCACGAGCAGTAAGAGCGTGTGTTAACCTGGAGTATTAAAGATTACATTTCTCACCACATGATAACTTCTGGGACAACAGTGGATCATATGGACCCTGATTAGCATCGAGGTCACAATGACCGTCACAGCACAAAGTGAAATTGAGGTCAATAATATTGGCTTAGTCGTTTTAGGCCCAGGCCTTTCTAAGTTTTTCTAAAACCCTTCTACACTTTACAGTGTATACAGACATATATAAACTATTATTTTTGAAGTGTTTTAAAAAGTGTTAAAACCTATTATCGTCCAAGCAAAAGTGTAAAACACAGCAGTGATCGTGGAATCAACAAATTACAGTTATTACCATTATGTACACTGCAGATTTATGTAAATCATTCACGCACAAATTACTATTAATAATTTTTAGAAAGCACTTTTTGTAAATGGACCAACCCCAGACATAAGTCTGAGTAAGCGTAAGTTTATTATCAACACTGCGCAGTAATTACCAAACCACGGCACAAATCAACTCCTGCCACCCAAACACAGATGTCGATTCCCGGACTGTACCGGGTCAAACTGCGCCATGCCGCGGGTCACAACTGGACAAGTAGCAACCATACATAGCAACCACGTTTGTGTTTCCCAACTCTATCGGATGGTGGTGAATTTCAAATTCAAGACCATGAAAAACTACAAATATTTGAAGGAAAGCGATATTGATGCCTCCACATCCACTTGCAAGGGGTGAAACATGAACTGAAGCTGACAGTGAGAGAGCCACAGTGGGGAGGCAACACTGTAGTGACAGTTATTTGCAATGTGTATTTTTGTGGACTGGTGACCAACACGCTGCTCTCTTCCACAATCTCTCACGTGTGGGAGAACTCTCAATGACACCACGGTGGCAAGTAAGTTAAATCGACATCTTTGCAGGCAAACGTTTTATCTCTCACCGACAAGGACGTGCACTCTTTCAAGCGCTTGCAGATTCAGACATAAAAAAACAAGTGTGCTTGACGGTGGACTGTGCAACTGTCTTAGATAAGTGCAGGAAGCAGGCTACTTGGTGGAGACCAACCAGCCACAGGAGCAAGCAGGGTTTAAAGGACTGCCGATCACATGCTTACATCCTCTCAATAAGATTCTGCAAAAGACCAAGACATCTAAATTACCATTGTGGCTGGCCTTTGCAGACAATAAAATACAATTGACTCTGTGGAAATTAATGCAATAATTAAAGCTCTTAAAAACCAAGACCTGAAACAAACAATATCTCAAAATAGCAAAAAACATCTACAAAAATGTAACCGTTACACTAACATTTTATGATCACAATTTATAAAAAAAAATAATTTACATGGGAAGTCACTTACGCGTGAGAAAATGTTTTCCAAAAATATTTTGTCGCGTTACCCTCCACCACCTAACATAGCCAAAGTGGTTTTTTTTTTACAAGGACAGGCATTTTACACGCAAATAATTACTGCTTGAGCTTACCGGTAAACTGAAGAGCAATTCTCACAAAGTTAACATGTAAACCAATACATGCGAAGATTGACTTGAAACTGTGATGCATCCTCAAGAAGTGATGACCTGACGAGTGTAAACGCTTGTACACGTGACAAATTTATTTGTTTGGCTATGTCAGGTCGTCGCCTCAACCAATGTTTAATTATGAATAACTTAAGCACTTCATTTGCTGGTTATATAAATACATACAATTTTAACTTAATTGTCTAATCAATTTCACAATACAGGACATTGTATATTACTGCCTCTTTATCTGTCATGTCAATTTGCTTAGGGACATGAGCATACACACAAAAATAATTGTCTTTATTTTCTGAAGTGTATACCCTAGTCCATGAGATGTCATCGATGTACAGAGTAATCTGTGCTTTGCTGTAAACGTGAGAGGCGCATTATAAAATGACAAGATTAATGGTGGCGGCGGTGATTAAGCACTGACCAATGGGAGCCAAGTCTACAACTGCCCACGGCTCACCGCTGGTGAAAATGCCGACCTTTCCCCTTCACTCACCCACTGCCTGGCAACGTAACCTCACCTTGCATCTCAGCGGCAACATCTCCAGAGCTCATTCCCAGCATCCGTTCCTTCCAGTCCTTGGCCAGAAGTTGCTCCACACAGGAGGCATCTGTGGGGCACAATATTTTGGGTCGTGATTAAAGCCCACAGCTCAGAGACATTGTCACACTATCACACAAGTAATATGACAGAGTCATTATTTCAAAACTTAATTCCCCCGCGATGACCCATGAAACAGATAAGACAAATCAAGGTAATAAAACCAAACACGACAAGGTGAGTTGAAGCTATTGCCATTTATAACAGAGGATTATAAATTACCATGTAATAGCATCATGTGTGTATGCGCGTTGAACTTCTTTAGCACCGTACACAGCCCACCATGGCAATCAGAGGTGCAACAAGGTCGAAAACTGTCCTGCAATACCAAAAGCACCGATAGAATGCACATGTACAGCCCTTTTCCAGTCTTACGCGTGGTGGATGAAGGCCTTCCCAAGGCATGCGGTGAGTGGGTGTTGTTTGACCATACTTCACCACGCTGGGTAGTATGGGTTTTGTAAAGGTGGGAAGTGTAGACGCAGAAATACAGCACAATGATCAATTTTATTGCAGTGCCCTCCACAGCCTACAACAGCTCCACTGCCTATAGCACCTGGTATGCAGGGTGGTTACCCCCATTCAAGTGCTATATCCAGGCTCACCCTCTTGATTAGCTTCTGTTGTTCAGGACAAAGCGTGAAAGTTAACTCATTGATAATGTAATGGCGATAATGATTAATCTGTGGCATTCATAATGCAACGTCTTGGGCTTGTTTCCCCAGTTCCTATACAATGCATTTTTTACTTTTACTAATCTTAAACAGAGAATCACTATGCCTGGAAATGGCATCATTTTCCATGACCTCACTCATTTCTATTCTAGGAAATGCATTAAAACGCATTGTTTGTCTAAAGAGGTACGTTTTACCTGCATCCAACTACGCTGAAAATTGTGCTCACGCTCCCAGTTTCACAGCCGTGGCAAGGCGGAGCAAATGAAACCCGTGCATGTATGGAGGTATGCCTGCGGAACTTCTTTCGGACCGTATGTAGCCAGCCATGCTAATCGGAGGTGCGGGCGAAGGACAACAAACTAAACACAAAAGCAGTTCGAAAGAAATTAGTTTTCAATCTGGCTCCCAGTGGCTTGCTAATATCAGAAGTAAGAGCGTTCCAGACGGCCGCAGATGCGCATCTGAAAGTGCCGCGTGATAATGCGGCGACCACCGTCTTTGAAGCGGCACAGCGGTGACACGCCGGAGCTTTGCATCCTAAACTTTGCAGCTTCACTCCAAACGGCTTCAAAAGGAGCTTTACGTTCTCCCTCTCTTCTGCACGAATTTTCTCCGAGTTCTCCAGCTTCCTCCCACAGTCAAACACGGAGAAAATCATCGGCGTTGGCCAAAAATCCCAATGAGGCAGGACACTCCTGAGTAAGTAAGTAATTAAGATGACTATGCCTATTTCAAACGTACACACATGTTGTATAACAAGTGAGCAGCACAGTGTCACAGCCATGTGGGCAAACAACAAATGAGCTCGCAGCTCTCCACACGCATTAACGCCGACGACTCCGACAAACAGTTGTACATCTGCGCAGCCCCTCGGCCTCACGGCTGTGGAAGAGTGCGCTCGTGTATATCTGCCTTGCAGCCTTGAGTGGCACAGAAGTGGCATGTTAGCTCCTCACCGCACGCACTCTCCCACGCAAACCGTAATCTTGTGGACAGGTGGGCTTCTGCCTGTGGACATTAAATACGCAGTGGGTAAGTATGTCTGTTGAACTCCTTTCACACCGCAAGTAGCCAACCGTACTAATCGGAGGTGTGTTATGTGTGCCTACGTTGGCTATTCTGCGAAGACACGTGTGGCAAAATGCCACTATCTCGGCCACACGTACGTGTAACTCAACTCTTCCTGAAAACAAGACATATGCTCTTCGCGTTAGAGATGCCCTCGTGGTTGCCACGCTTGCACTGGGCGCAGCTGCCCAGTCAGTTGTTTGCAAACATGCACCATCAGGCGTAAAGTGAAGGTTAGAGACTTTGTATCATTATTTTATTATTATTCACAAGAATAAGTTACGACATTCGTGGGGCCACGGCTACGGCCGTCACCTGCCTGGGTCTGAGCCGGTACACTCCGGGAATTGGCGTCTGTATTCAGGTGGCAGGAATCGATTCGTCCCGAGATCTGGTACCAGTATTGCTGTGTTGAACTTCATCACAGTTTACTGCCCAGTTCCGATGACGGACCCAGTGCTGACTGAGAATTGTGCGTGCGGGTTTTGGTTTAAAGTGGAAAAAGGTTAAAGCACGTGCCGCGGCCCACATCCTAAATATGACCATGATGCACTGCAGTGCTCCATCTTCTTAGATTAACAACTGCTTCTCCGCGACGACACATTTCACTCGCTTCAGTACAACTGTCACTGAAGTGCCTTGCTGATCTGCAAAGTCTCAATGTAAACACTGAATTCTGCCTGCGATCAAATGAAGGCAATGCATCATACAACTACATGTGTGTGTCTGTTTATCGACACCCTGCACACTCTCACGCACGACGTGTTCCGTCTCATGGGATTTTCCACGTCAAATACATATCTTAAAGAAACCACCGTGACATACACAAGTTTCATATTGATTTGTGATCATTAGAAGCTATAAGTACTCGCATACTTGTTGTGCTATAAGGTATTCACCCTCCAGCGATGGCACAGTGATTTGCACCTCCAGGTAAGAACCCGGCCTTCTCCGAGTTCAATTCCTGGTCGCGGCTGACGTCAATGGCGAGAGCGGCCTGTGAAATCATCCTCGTCCCCACACGTTCACGAACCCGCGTCAGCCAGGGTGCTCGAGTACGGTGAAGCAGTCTCTACGACCAATGTGACCTACCGAGGCCGTTATCCAGCAGTGGACTGAACAAAGCGATGTTCGTGAGTGACCACTAACTTCAGCAGGGCATTTGTTTTTGCTCCGATTTCTATTCGCTTCTTTGATGTACTCTGTTTTAGGCTGTTGCTCTTTGTCGTCTTGGTGAGCCAGGCCACTCTCGCTATCCTGTTTTCGCGAGTCCTCACCCTGGTTGCACAAACTAAACTTGAAACGTAATCGTCACCGTCAATTCATTGATGTTGTTACATCATGGGAGCTTGACGGGAAAGCCTCAGACAGGGCAACAGGATTGTGTAAACTCAGTCACAGCCATCTCTGGTCTTACACATAAGCTTAAAATTCTCTCACATAGCTTGGTTATATTTATTAAACAAGATATGTTTTGTTTTAATATAAAGGTTAGTCTCGTTTTAAATGAAAACAGTATTCATATTCATATACAGACCTTGTAAAATATGATGTTCAAGCTCAGTAGGAGGAACTTCAACATAAAATGTAAATACATTTAAAATGAACTACCATGTTATATATATTACTATCCCCGACAGATCTATGCAAAGTCTGAACACAAACTGTATCTTAAGATGACATGGTGCTGTACAACTACAGCGAGGGTGAAATTACACGAACATTAGTGGGGGGGGGGGGGGGGGTCGGCGTCTGATTACTCTCAGTCGATATAGAAGGTTGTAACGATATCCATGGAGGGGTCGCCACCTTTCTCGCTGTAAACCAGACCCAGACAGATTCCTTCAGTCAGCCTGGGTCTATCAATACTCTGATGAAGTTCAACACAATGATGCCAGCAACAGATCTCGGGATACAAAAATAAATTCCTGCCATCTAAACACAGATGCCAGTTCCCCGACTGTCCAGGTAAAACCAAAGACAGGTGACAACCCTAATCCACATACGTCAACTTGATTAAGAAGGATGAGAGAGACACGTGTAAGAATTGGACATAAGGGTTCATGAGTTAGGACAGAAATCAAATTCCCTTAAGCTTGCACGTGGCAGGAAAATGGAGTCAGTTGCGAGTTTAGCTGACATCATGGAGTCCAGACAGGGCAGCAGCGGAGATGAACGGGTACCCGATGGAGGGGTTTGGAGATAAAACGGTGCCTGTCAGTAGTAAGGGGATGTAGTGAGAAGCGTATGAGAGTATCCTGCCCTCTTGACTTCTCCCCTGGTTAAACAACGTAAACTTCAATTAAACCTAAATCCCGATCACCGATTTGGTTCATCGTGACCTGATTACATGGAGGCACACCGCAGCAAGAAAACAATCTGTCAAAGACAGATTGTACATCCGTACAAACACGTCGAGTCAGAAGTGGTGTTGTCACTGAGTGATGAGGTGGTCGGCACTTCCCCGTCGTGCATTATAGACACTCCCCACATCTGATTGTGGCCCCAGTGTTAACGACCTCACGCATCAACCCTCACAAAGTAAATGCTTGGAGTGCTTCATATCAAAATATGAAAATGTCGTCATCAAAACACGGTAAAGCGCACACAGGACTGCCGTCTGTACCATTGCGGGGCTCCCGGCTTGAGTTATCACCAACGCCGCCGATCCACCGCCGTCGCTTATCGAACACCGGCCACGGACAACCGCAGAGCGCTCGCTACCTGGCAGGCGTCGCCGATGGAGCCACGCTGGCTCCGAGCCACGTGCACACCTCCACCCCTACTGCCCGGCACTAACTGGACCAGTTTGAACACGAATTATTGTCGGGTAAAAGACACGGTGCCGAAAGAGAAGGCCATCGATAGCACGCGTTGTGGGCGAGACATGGGATGCTGTTAACGTGTCTTTCCTAACACTTCAAAATTGCCTGCGAGAGTTTACGCGTTAGCGATTGATCATGCGTGGTGTAATTGCTGCATCTTGATTGATGAGATCACGATTAGTGTCTCTAACGAGTTCCGTATTTATAAACAAAGGCGGCAATCACGAAAGCCGTGCCCAAATAAATTAAATCACTCCTGAAAAAGTGCAGATCGAGAGGAAATAGGAGAGCTTTTGGCTTCACAGAAGTAGAGCAAAATGAGTGGAGGTGACAGCTCAAGCTCCGTGATGGGAGACACTGATACAGGAATGCTGATAGTCGTCGGTAAGATACGTGTGTGCGGTGTACGGTGTCTGTTTTACGCAACCGACTGTAACCAA